AAAATAATTCACACACAGAAAGAAAAAGAAAAAGAGAAAGAAGATTTCTCAAATTATTTTAAAGTTTTGTTTTTTGAGATAGAGATAATTTTTATATCATTTATATGTGCAATTTAAGAGTAACAAGTTATCGTCATCTGACATAATAAGGCTAATATAATTTCGGTGAGTTTAGATTTGAAATTTTAATCAAAATAAAAGAAAAACGTTCACAATTTTTTCGTCGCAAGCTGCACTTTTAATTCTTTTGCGTTGAACGAAACTCACCGAAATATATGTTACATTAACATCAATCCCCGACCACCTCACGCGCGTTATCACATCGTTCCAAAGAATATACGTCACAATACGAGAGACGCACCACTTGATTCGGCGGGAAATGAGATTAAGATCGTCGCGACGGACGCGATTCGTCGAATCGGCGAATCGTAGGAACGTGCAGCACGCGAGCCATCGAAACTGACGGCCCGGATTAAGAATTCTAACGGTAGGAGTAGCCGGGTCGGTAGTAGGATGAAATGAGCGACGCGTCCGGCGCATTACGCAATGAAAGAAACAAATGAAGCTTAATAGAAAAACTGCCCGCGCTAGAAAAACCCATTCCATCGTGCACTTAGTACAGCTGCATCAGAAAGTGCATCGGCCGTTCTTTCTACCCTCGTTGTCAAGCGACACGAGAACAAGTTCCTCAGCGACGAGTAAAATTTTTTCGTGCAGAGTAGTGAATTTGAATCTATTTGACGTTTGTGTAGAAAAAATTTCGTGTCACAATTTACTCGCGATATTTTAATTCAAAATTTTAATAAAATGTGTACAACTATAGTTTGTTTTTGCGAAAAATGTGCGCGTTCAAGTATGTCAGCAGTTTTTCAATTCGCGTTTCACGTCGAACGGAGGTTGAAGTCGGGAATGTCACCGATCCGGAAAACTGGGCATGGAACACAGCGAGACACTCATGAATTTTTCAGAGTCCATTTGGACGTACTGCTAATTAACAGTAATCGAGCAAACGTGTAGAATCGGCTCGCCGCTGACCGGTGTACTTTGTTCCGGTTCTAAATTTGATTTACATTAAATATGAGAACGCTCGCCGGGACGAGCACTGCATACGTATACGCGCGGGTCTGTACATCGTCGCATTAAATATAACCAAACGCAGCAAACGCGCGTAATGAATCAAATTATTTCGGACCGCATCCGCGGTTGGGGGAATAATTTGTCCGTGTGAAAAGGATAAAAGCGCGCGGAAAGAATGAATTGTAGATTCGTCGAAATTCGAATATGCAAGCGGCGGTGACGCGGTGTTGTGTTTCAACAACACCGATCCGTCGATAATCGATAGCGATTCCGGATAATTCGGGATGTCAAATGCGCGTCGACAAAGATCAAAGGCTTGCGTGCGTGCGTGCGTACATACATGTGTGTGAGTGTGTATATTTGCGTGCGTGAGCATTGTCGAATCTCACAGCACGGACACGAGCCGCGGAACGCGTCGCATGCATTTTTCCCGACTGTACCACCACTGTCGTCTGCGGCTGTGTCAATAGGAGCCAATCTAAGTACATATGCACACACAGACGTAAATGCAGCTCGTCGTACACACTGCGACTCCGTGATGCAATCGTGATGTGCCTCGTGCTTTGCGCAGTTTCGACATTCTCTTTGCCCCGCGCTATGCGCAAAGTGCGGCAATGAATTCCGCGATCGGATGCGGATCGATCGATTTTGACGGGTGTGGACCTGAAATTTTAAACTCAGATCCTCCCAAGAGAGAGAGAGAGAGAGAGAGAGAGAGAGAGAGACAGACATCGATCCTCGGTCCTTCTCCTTTCTCGAGATCACATCTTGGACCAACGTGAGGACGGTGTTGTGAAGAATGGCTGATCTGCGCGCAAATATAGCTACGTATCGTTATTTTCCGAGTCTGCGTGCGAGTCGCGTGATAAGATAAGCGTGCCGCGGATCCAGGATCAAGGTGACGAAGATAGCGTCGTGACTTCGAACGATCGCTTTGAGAAAAATTGATGCGACTCTTGCGTATCGTCGGAAAAATACATCGCGCTTTATTCTTTCTACAAATGCAAATTTTTCATGCAGTTCCCGGAGTCTGTAGAATGCGCACTCGCCGGAAATATTCCATATATTTCTCGAAAAAATATTCAAGGACGTTATAATCAAATAGGATTTAATTTTTAAATGCGGCAATTATATTAAATCACAACGTGCAACAGGAAACGGATTTAGCGGAGATTCGTCGTCTCGTCGTCTCTTTTTAATTACCCTTGTATTAAAAGCATAAAGCAGGAATTTGAAAAAATTTAATTTACATCTCGCGACGCGCGAACAATGCAACAATACTCGTGGCAAAAATACGCGACAATAAATATCATTATATGCACGTCTCTTGAAAATATCGAGAGAAACAATATATTTTTTAATGATTTGTTGAAAAATCCGAAATTGTATAAATGTGACGAACGAATTTGGTTTATTTCGGAGGCTGGAGCCGAGATGATGACGAACGCCAGCCAGTCATGAAAGATGGCTGACGCCGGTCGATGATCGTGAATATTTTTGACCGCGCGCAGTTAGTACTTTCTGTCTCGTATATTTGCCGTAAAGTACGGGAGGGAATGATCGGGGAGGGGTGAAAGCGACGGAATATATACATAGAAAGACCGTTAATCAAAGCGACAGCGCGCTCCGGCTCGGGATACCCGGCCGGAGGAACGAACGGCGAGTTTTGCCATTTTTGGGGGGGAAAATTTTCCGTGAAAATCATTGACGTCGCCCGGGTCATCGACGAGCTCTGCCCGGCGGACCGAACAGCTACACACACACACACGAGGACCGGACTATGTGTGTGCGTGTATATGTACGTATGTGTACCAGGATACACAACGTGGGAGGCCTGTGTCTCGTATATCGGGGTGGTAGTTCCCGCAGAGAACGGCGTGCGACGGCCTCCCATTGGCCTCCCATTGGCCGGTCCGGGGGTGGCTCGCTGCAGTCATCGATTCAGGCAGTCATTGGCTGACTCGGCCCCGGCCGCCATTTTGAATGACTCCGGGATCAATACGAGGGGTGCGGAAAAAAAGTGCATGCAGGCCCACCGCCGCCCCCGGTTCCCTCGGCCGTATCTCACGACCGTTCTATCTCCGTTCGCACGCTAACCACCGCGCGTCTCCCTCGCGCTCTCGCCCTCGCTCTCTATCTATCCGCCGCGGTTCATGCAACCACCGACACCCGTTGCACCAACCTCCTCTTTCCACTCAGGGGCACCCTAACGCCTTTCCGCCGCCGACTACCGATCGTTCCCTCCCCCGCCTCGCTACCGCTCTTCCTCCGATGGCATCCCCGGCGCAACAACGCCAACCATCGACGACCCAGCCGAAGGGGATGATAGGACCGTTTGCATATATACGGAGGAACGCACGCACACATACGAGGGACTTCGTTCGCGCGCGCTCGAAAATCATCGAAAAAATACTCGGCGAAAGCGGGGTTGCCGGTGTTTCGCTGTGGCGCCGCTGCCGCCGCCACCACCGCCCCCGGTCCCGTCGCGTTCCACCGTCATTTTCTTCCCTTTCTCCCCCGGGTTTGTGTCGAGAATATATGCGATTCTCTCTCGCTCTTTCGCGTGTGCGTTGTTACGTTGCACGCTACGTTTTCAGCACAGGCCAACTCGTCGGGAAATAGGAAATTTGAAATCGAAGCTCCGCACCGCCGCTGCCGAGCCCACCACTCCCGAGTCCTCCCCCTCATCGTCCCCGATCATCGGTGAAGCTCCCGGGCCTGGCACCAGACCCGGGGGTGCGTCATCGAACTCGGGAAATGGAATGATTCCGCGTATCGCGCGTTCTTTGTCTCGACGCGCCCGCGAGTCTCACCCTTTTTTTTCGACATTTTTCATATTTTTCCTCCGATTTTTTCAGCGAGATAAAAAAAATCTACACTACTCGGCGTCGTAAAACGATCAATTCAACGAGAAAAAGCTATTGCTATGATAAATACAAACTTAGACTTTTGAGCAACATGTAATTTTTACAAGGTTTTCAAGCGAGAAGATAATTTGTGTTAGGTCAAGTTAGTTGTATAGGAGCAAGTTATAATTTTTCAAATTATGGAACAGAAAATGTGGGCGCGCTCGACATTATTTATACAAATTAGTAAGAGAGATTATACGCAAACAGAAGCGATCGACTAAAGGGTCAGTCACGACGAAGGTTTGGGACTCCTCCTTGACTTTCTAACTGCCGCGAGAAATTTGTTTTGAGTCTATTTGAGATACGTCCCACGACAGGTTAGCCATCAAGTCGTTGCGGACTACTTAATAATCGCGCGAATTACAATGGTAATACACATAAACGGCGATTCTCTAGCAAATAACAGTAGTCATTACGGTAGTCGCTATTATTACGGACACTTTGGCGTTTAACTGTTTTACCGTAATAAGCCATGACCGTTCGAAAGGAGTGAGAGAAAGAGCTGCGGCAGACAAGCCGCGGCCCGCGCGAAAGTATACGTATTATACCGGCCTAAGTTTTATAGCGGCCGTTGTTAGGTGGTGCCGTTCGCGAGCTCTGTCATTACTCAGTAACTTGTAAAACAGTTGCCTTTGGACATAATGTTATTTGCACAATGCGGGTTTAAGTGGCGGCCGTCGAAGATTTATCGTTCCGTTTATGATCCTAAACGGCACGATGGATCTTCCGCTCTCGCAGCAGAAAGTCGCGCGAATTCTCTCCTTTCCCCGCGAATCGCGATCGATTCACGCGACTCGCGCACAGGATGAGGATTCACGAGAATCTTCCGGTCCCTTTCGGAGCCGGTAGCTTCTCTGATCATCAATGGCGTCTTTCTCTACTCGAGCGCCCACTTTGAAACAAAACTTCGCGTAGAAAAAGAAAGAAAATTATTGTACATGCATACCATGCAAGTAATATATAGATACGTATATATATATATATATATTTTTAGTTGTATTTTGGGGTACTTACGTTTGGAACCGAACTAACTGAAACAAGGACATAAGGCTTCTCTTGGTAACAACGACTTTTAGATCACATTTTTAGTTATTAAGAATTTTATCGTTTTTTTTCATTTTTCGCTTTTTAAATTTACGTTTAAAATCTAAAGTTTCTCAAAACTTGTTAAAAATATACTTTAGTCATATCTTTTTACAATTTACTTTGTAGGCGTCTAAAGTGTTATTTTTTGTTTGTTTCTTTCCCCCCCTGTGTCTCTCGTTTGTTTCTTCGACAGTGTAGGTGTACTCTGCTTCTTTAAGGCAATGCTTTTGTTGCAATTTCGTTTCTTCTCTTTTTTTTGGTGCTTTTTCGCGTATTTTTCTTGATTTTCTGTATTTTCTCTTTTTTCTTCTTAATCGTCGTCTTCTTACTCGTAATTTCGAAATCAGGATCGCTCGAAAGTGAGTTTTAGCTTCTCTAAATTATTTAAGTTCTTTCGGCAAAACTTAAGAGGAGTTGTTCAGACGTTGTGTTTCACAGACAGAAATCGGTGCGTGTTTCGGAAACGGTGAAATTAATTTTTCAATGAAATAACTATGACAACACATAACAACACAGTGCGACGCGTCTGAAACAGAAAAGATAAGGGGGCGCCGTCCCCCGTACATTCTCGTTACGATCGATCTGTCGAACAACCGCGCGATCGCCCGGTGGGTCCTATCGCGATGATTCACCGCGAATGGATCCACCGATTTATCCCCGTTTTTTAACGCAGTTATTTATTATTTATTTTCGGTTTTCGTAAAACGGTTTGCGGTTACGATATGCGACGGAATTGACGAGTCTCGTAAAACGTTTGCGGAGGGACCGAGAAATGTGCGACGAGAAGGGAGGCGTATCGATCATGACAGATGATATTTTTTTATTGTTGAACAAATCGCGTTGCCGAATGTAACAATTTCAGTTCAAATCAAGTTCCCGTCTAATATTAACTAATTGTAAGTCATTCTAAGTTAGGAATGTACAAATATAATACTAATATAAAATAGCAAAAATTTGAATTCAAAATCACGAAGAAATTTAGCAAAAAAGAATCTATAGAATGCAAATGCTTAAACTCTCCTTCTCTCTTTCTCTATTGTACATAAGCTTTCTGAAAGGATTGCTAATACTCTCTTGCGCTACTAGCGAAGTGAAGTTCTAAGTCAAGTATCACCTTGGATGTTGGAATAAGAATGTAATAAGCTCAAAAGAGTACTTTATCTGTGCAAGGTATCGCGTGTCTGGCATCATCGATAGTCGCACCCACCCTCGGGGCATCCCCCGAGTCCAAGTCGGCGTCAGTCTAAGGTCCGTTCGAATCTCCCGCGCGACGAAAGGAAAAACCTTCGGTATAAGAAGGGGCCACGTGACTCGAGGAACGAATGAGCGTCTTTGCCGCCCCCGCCGCCGCATCCTCGCCCTACCCCTCCACCTTCTCTCTTTCCCCTTCTAGAGAGGCGCGCGGCGTCGCTCCTTGCGCGTCGTGGTAAGACGCGTCGGGACGCGCTGCCTCCGTCCTTCTCGCACTCTCGTAAGCTCCCTGTCTCACGTCCTTCTCCCTCTCCCTCTTTCTATCTAGCCGCGCTCTCTCCATCCTCGTGCTTTCCCGGACTTTTCTCCCCCACGTGCTCCTCGCGAGTCGGCAGTGTCTGCTGGCACGTCGCGGGGTGGCGATCTTGGTAGAAAGGACTTTGCGGAGGACTTCGCTCCTGACTTCTCCTTCTTCCCTCGGCGCTCACTCGACTTGATCCTCTCTCCGCGATCTCCTTAGTCTTCCACCCTTTCTCTCTTTCGCAGATAGTTCCTTACGTCTCCAAACGCACAACTTACGCCACCTCGAGAGAAGCCCCGCGAGAAGTCACCCCCCGAAGCCGTTCCCGGTCCCTCCTTTCTCTCCCGTGCACGCGACTTGTACGCGCGGCGCGACTATTTCCGCGATAATTATCCGGTTTTTCGCATACGAGCACCTCCGCGATCGCGACACGCGTCTCCACGGAATCGTTACGGCACAACCGCCGCGTTTTCGCGGATATTTCCGTAGAATTTCGGTAACCTTTGATAGAGGCATTGCGAGCATCCCCGTGTCTGAGTAGCAACTGCGCCGTGGCCCCGTGCCGGGCACCCCCACCTCACCTCCTTGCCGCCTCTATTGCACCACACGCCGCCCGCCGCCTAAACCGTGCCGAAGCGAGCCACCAACCCTCTCTCGGACGCGCGCTGGCCCTCCACCCGCGTTCTATCTCGCTCTCTCACCGTCACCGTTCGCGCTCTCGCACGTTCGCCCGCACGCCCGTCCATCCGTCCGTTCGTCCGTCCATTCGTACGTCCGTCCGTACATTCGCCCGCTTTCTCGCTCTCTCTCTCTCTCTCTCTCTCCCCCTCGTCTCTCTCTTTCCCCTTTCTCTCGCACGCGCGCGCTTCATCTCGCTTTCTCTTTCCGCTCGCTCGGACCACGAACCGAACGTTCGGTCGGACGCGCGTCTTTCTCTTTCGCCATCTTCCTCGCGCTTTCCCGCCCGTTCGTTCTCCCCGCGTCCCTGCGAACAATGTGCGCTGTGTGCGATGCGCTGCGCTCCCATGTCGTTGTGTGTGTGGTGCGCTCTGCGCTCTGCGCGCTGCCGTGCCCAACCCGGCGCGCGCGCCGCGCTGCGCGACTAGGCGCACCGAGGCGTCAGGTGGATGACGCCATGTACGTCGCGCAGACCGTTTGTAATGACGATAACCAGCCAACGCCGCTTTCCTCTCTCGGATCCGGATAAGTTTTCATGGCCAGCGGCGGCGCCGGTCGCTACGAAAATGATCGCGTTGACACATCGCACGCTGAAGGGGTGCGAATGTGATTTGGGTAATTTAGTTGCGGGAACTGGCGCCTAATTTTTGCCTCCCACCTCCTCTCACACGTCTCGTTAATGGCTCATAGACGAGAGGGGGTGGCCTTCCTGACGATATAATGAGACTTAATAGATTCCGCGAAGCTCGTGAACGAAACAAACCGACCGCGATTTGTTTATACTGCTAATTAAAGTCGTTATCTTTTTAAATTTTTTAACTTCAAAAGCAATCTTAATTCTTGATAATTACTCGTGATAAATATCCGTGGTAGGCCGATGATAATTTGCTGTAAGAACTTCTTGTTATTAAAGGGGAAGCCGTCTTCTCGAGTTGAGATGCTAGTTAGTCGGGTATTCAACGCCAACTTCGGACACTCTAGGAGATCGATATTTTCGAGATGTGCACATTTTCGAGACTATCTCTCGTTTACTGACGGTTACCGATGGGAATTCTCGACAGGGAAATCAACGAGATGACATAAAGAAGGTGCTCGATTCTTGATGATCGCACCCGAGTGTTCAATTACAGGTTTTATGCGATTTAATGATAGTTAAATAGCAGTCCCCGACCGCTTCTCTCGCAATATCTCTAACACTCCATTCCAAGGGCCATAGAACGGCTGGTAAACGATGAGGGGTGGCTTCTCTGTCGCTACCCAATAACGATTTGGAGGCGTTATCGTGGCTTTACATCCCTTTGGCCCTGGCGTGACAGTAAGGTTAGCACACCGTTGTTGCATACATGCCAGAATGGAGTTCACGTTCATCGTGTATTTCAAATCGTGACACTGACCACAGCACATCCCATCGTACTTTATAACTAGTATATGAAGAAGAAGAAGAAGAACTGTAGACAGTGTTGAGAAAAGTGCATTTTTTTCGTTTTTTCATTAATTTATAAAAATACGCCATACACAAAATTAATAGGAAGATAAAAATATTTAAAAAAAAAAGGCAAACTATTAATAAGTAATTTTTGCTTGTGATATATAGAATATTCACTAAATAGCTTAGGGAACTCTAAGATGATCGTCGGATTGTTACGTCAGAAGAGAGCAATTTTTAATCTCCGAAGAAGTCTGACTTGTCTGGCACGTCGATCGACTCGATCCGTCTCCGTCTCTCGTATGCAATAACAATTTGGAGGCGTCCGTGCGGCTTTACATGCTTCGGTACCACCGTGACAATAAGGTTAACACAGCGGCATTGCGTACGCGACGTAACCGAGTACGTACACCATCGTATTTCGAATCCTAGCGTTGACCGCAGCTCGCTCCATCGCGCTTCCACGGGGGTTGCTCGGCCACCCCCAGGTCGGCGTGCCTCGCCTCTGGAAATTCTCCAGCGGCATTCCCTAGCGCGAGCCTTTCGTCGATAGAGAGGCTGGATCTTATTACGACCTGCAGACTACGCGTCGAGGTATGATTTCGTTGCATATGATGCGGGGACCCGGGATCGATCTGTGTGTCGAGAGAGCGGATCGCGTTGTTTTCAATTCGCTCGTCGCGCCGCGTATTTTCCAACGCAACGCGAAACTTACGCGGACAGAATATCCGATAACATAAAATTGCAAATTTTATTCGAGACTACATCGGCAGAATTATATAGTATAAAATTTTAACGGAATTGTAGATAGAGTGAAATATAAAAATATAAATGCGTATATAATTTTCTCTCCCAAGGTTAAATTATCCTTGACGCATTTATTTATTTATTTTTTTCCATCTCCGCGACGAATAGCTCCTTTCGAATAGCAGGAAGGCGCAGCCTCAAAGGGAGGAAACCACGGCGGGAAAGGGTTGGTCGCGGGCCGAAAAAGAGGGATCTCGCAGACGAGAAGACCTTCCTCTACCCTACGTCTCCGACGGTTCCTCGTAATTGTATCGATTGTCTTAGGGCGACACTACGACCGACCGTTACGCGCACCACGAAAGGTGCACCGGTTGTCTTCTCTTACCTCGCGCGCGTTCCGTGTTCCCCTCTTCCTCGCTCGGAACACGGGGTGACCCGCTTTGTTGTTTCGCTCGATCGAAAAATAAAAATTCTTAACCGGATGAAAGTTTGACCTGGATCTTTTGTGGACGCGGGGCAAAGAGGAGGGGAAGAGAGGAAAGAGGGACAGTAAGGGGCAGCCCGCAGACACAATGCGCCGACGAAATTTGCATACGCGGACGGCCAACGGCGACGGCATGTGGCGCATCGTATGGGCTACTTCTCTTTCGAAACAGCTACTAGGGGTAGCTCAGGAGAAGGGTCGATAAAAGAGAAAAATTGGATTTCGTCGCCCGTATCGTTGCGTCCGCGACGCGCGCTTCATCGGGGTGTGGAAGGACACGAAAACTGAAACGAAGACTCAGGTACGTAGATACCGGCTGACTCCGGATAAGGGGATGAATCCAGGTTTTTTCCACCTTTTATCCGCCCCTCGTTTGTATCCAACCCATCGCCCATCGGTGTAATCATAATAATGAGAGGAGAAAGACTGGTTGACCATCGGGCGGCCCGAAGGGCGATAAAACAATCACGGCTCATTTTTTGCTGCGCCAGCTGCAACCGGCAGCATCAACCGCGATCGGATAGTCACGACCCTTGGACATTGTTCCGGCTAGATTCTCGATTTGTCGACGTATCATACCTTCTTGTCGCACGGATTATTCCTCACAATGGGGAAAAATAAAATATCATCTTTGATTTAGCAGAAACTTCTTAATATTTTGTGTGTGTTTACATAATAAAAGTATAATATCAAGACTGTTTTATCTTCCGTGGAACAGTTTTAATTATATATATATATATATATATATTTTATAAAAATATATATATACATATATATATTTTTTACGCCAAGATAAAAAATAACTTTCAAATTGACCTAAACGATGCTTATTATTATTTGTCCGTTTCAACACGGATCGATTTATCCATCCGTAAGTGAGATCAAATCCCGAGAGACGATCGAGAACGTCCTCTCACTTGGGGGTTCGTGGGGACACCCTCTTGGCTAGTCGCCTAATGATCGGCGGAGGAATCGTGATTGCGAGCGGGAGGAAAGAGCGAGGGAGAGAGACAGAGATAAATAGATAGATAGAGAAGCAGAGTTGCGGGCGAGAGGTCGATGGCTGATGTCCTGGGTAATTAGTAAAAACAAAGGATCTGGCCGCGAGAAGGAATCGAGAGATGGTCGTCGAAGGCGGACATAAGAGACAAGCTGAAAGAGAAGCAGAAGATCGCGTCGACGGTGGTGCCGAGGGGAGCGGCAGGGATGGATGCGAGATAAAATCTAAATGAGAAAATAATCCCTCGACGTTGATGAGGAAACGAGAGCGAACGGTGGGAGGTCTTGGTGAGAAACGATCTCTCCTAGAAAGCCTCCTTTTTCGTCCTCAGGTCATGGCACCTGGGCGCCTCTCCCCGAAGAGGAGTGTAGCGGCTTTTCCGCGAGGTAAACACCTAGGCGCATCACACACAGCCGGCTCGCTGGTTGTGCTATCGGACTAAGCGCTCGAGCTTAACCTAACCTAACCCAACCTAGCGTGTTGACGACCACCACCGCTGCCACATGTCCACGCGTATGTAGGTGGCCCTATCGATTCCCACCTCGAGAAAATAACGGAGAGATTTCGCGGCGCGGCCACACCAAGCTCCCCGCAAAGTTATTTCGCCAAGTTCGTCCTGGCAATCTGGCTTCGTTTTCGGTATATAACCACCCGTTATCCCTCGCGAAAGACGCGGGATGAGTGTGGAACGAAGGGTTCGCGGCTCCCGGGCTAATCAAATGAAAACAAAAATCGCGGAGCCAACCTCTCGACCGAGCGAGCGGGAAGAAAGTTACGCGGCCAACTTTCGCCTTTTTCGCCGCAATTTGCGGCCGATTCAGCCGTGAATCTCGGGGTCTCCCCGCGCTTCGTCGAACTGCTCCTCTCGTATTCCCTGTATTTCCATGCCACCGGTGGACGACTGCGGCGAAGGTCAATGTTCTCCCTTCTCGTGCTCGGCACTGTGATGAAAGCCCGCGAGTGGTTTAATCGCGTTTGCGAACGATCAATCGTTTGCTATTGAGATCCCCCGTTTTCATTTCGACCGTGATCCATTTTGCTCGCGCACTTTGTGTTATTTCGTCATTTTTATTCCGGCTTTGAAACAGCAGTGATTTGGGTTTCTTTCCAGATTTACACAACAATGTTTTTACATTCATTTCGCCCGGAATGAAAATATACTTGCCCATGCGCGACTCGAGTTGTTTCTACTCGCGATTATTA